CTGTCATCTGTTAAGTGGGGTCCTCCCTAAGCTGCCGGGTCAGCCCAGAGTGGTGGGGGGGCGGGGGTGTATGCCACCTGGTTAATGTGTCGGCTTATGCGTGTGTCCTGCTACAGCTGGCAGCCATGTGAGGGGGGGGTAATTACTGTCAAACTCACCCTCCCCCCCCGAATCCCTCCCCACCCTCCCCTGGAAGATGGAGTATGACAGTCCGGGTGAACTCTCCCAGCAGGTGCCTGACATCCACCCCTGAGCCAGGCACACGCTGCACTTCCCGCCGGGGGGGGGCACGCCGCGCTCTGTCCCTAGGCCTCTCCACTCCATGCATCGGCATCACCATCGCTGGGCCCTCCACGCCCACAGCAGCCCATAGCAGCTCCAAATGTGGGACACTGCGTCGTTGCATTGCCAAGGAAACTGGTGCACCGGTTACCACGGCAGCCCCCCCCCCCCCGGGATGTTCTGATCAGCACATTTTTTAGCAGGCTACCCGGATGCCTGCAGCGTCCGCCCCGGTCCTGCGAAGGAGCCGTTTCATCGAATCTCAATGCTGTGCTTTTTTTTTTTTGTACTGCAGTGGATTCAGCCCCCGCCCGCCCCACCCCCACCCCAGGGGACTTTAAAATCGGACTGCGGTTGGGTCCAAATATACCCGAGTCCTTGTTCGGGACTTTCAAACCCACACGCTGCTGTCTGCTTAATTGGTGCAGATCTTCTGAAATCTTGCAGTGCTAACAGTTACCTCAATTAGCTCATTCTTAGTAAATCTGTTACAGTCAGTTTTGTCATGCTAAATTTAAGCGCTTGTCAGAATCATGGGCCAATCAGGGGGCTCCCTGTGGAGTTCGCTTGCCTGTAGGTTACTTTCGGCAGCTGTTTGATTAATCGCTAAACATAAACCACCACCCTCTCCGGCCTTGTTTGGCTCCGCTTCCACATCCTTTCTAAATGGTGACCAGTGCCATGTACGTTAGCCAGTAGGGTGGGGGGGATACCCACAGTCAACTGAGAAGTGGATAGAGGAGGACTGGGCTTGGGGGGGTGGAAAAGGGCCCACTGGATGTGGCTGTTAGGCGATCTTAGCATGCATTACCATCTTAGCATAGCATAGTGTACCTTAGCTGTTAGGCGATCTTAGCATGCATTACCATCTTAGCATAGCATAGTATACCTTAGCTGTTAGGCAATCTTAGTATGCATTTCCATCTTAGCATAGAATACCTTAGCTGAGGGTATCTCAGGACACGGCTATTCCACCAGGGGCCTGGGGGAGGGCTTGGTTATATTTTCAAGCCACGTATTTTTTTTTTTTTACGACCTCTGACATTTCACATACTCGGATGGCATCTGTAAAAAAACATTCGAAAACTTGCATTGCGTCTGGCTCGCCTAGAGACCTGTCTGTGAATTTCCACAGTCATCGATAGTTTGGAAACCCCTATCTTAGGACACAGGTCCATCTCAGCATAGCATATGCTGCCTTAGCATAGAGTATCTTAGCATAGCATATGTCACTTTAGTTTAGGGTGACTTAGCATAGCATATGTCACTTTAGTTTAGGGTGACTTAGCATAGCATATGTCACCTTAGCTTAGGGTGACTTAGCATAGCATATGTCACTTTAGCTTAGGGTGACTTAGCATAGCATATGTCACTTTAGCTTAGGGTGACTTAGCATAGCATATGTCACCTTAGCTTAGAGTATATTAGCATGGCATATCTACTTTAGTGTTTGGTTGGATAATGGACTTCTCTTTCGCTATCTTATCATAATGCGCTTAGGCCGAGAGTGTCTTTCTCTTTTGTTGCATGCTATCTCAGCAGAATCTGCTGTATACACAGATATGACCGTTTACACAGAAAGAATGGGATACATGGCTTGGGGGTTAAAGAAATGCAGTCAAAAGATTGAATTTATTAACTGCTACACTTGCGGGAGTGAAGATTGTGGTGGCTGGACAGGCACTGGGGAGAGTAACCGGCAGGATATGATTGTTGTTTCTCATACTGGGTGGTGATGGTCTGTTTATTCAGAGGTCTGAATGTCAGCAGACACCCGGCGTTTAAGGTTAGCCTGGGAAAGTGCCGGACGCTGGTTTTCATATCCTCATTAAATACACCAAGTCAGCTCCTGAAGAGAGTGACGCCGGCGGCGGTGTGTGAAGTCAGCTCAGCCTTGTGGTTAGTGCGCCGATTCCCTGGCGGGCTTTACACGAAACCAGCAGTGAAACATGCGAAGCTGAGGGCTGAACATCGAGGGCGACTCTCACAGAGGTCCTGGTACCAGCACTGTTTCCCTGTTAAGCTCTCAAGACGCCAGTATCTTCTCATCCGCTTCCCTCTCCTGTCGTAGTTCCGGCCATACCAGCGACTGACTGACAATTATAGAAGGAAATAAATTTCCTGCAGCGCAGTCGGGGCACCAGCTCTGTCCAGATATTACCGGGCCTGAATATTTGCGAGAAAGGATCGGCACGCTTGGAATAATCTCTTATTGTAGGCAGCTTCGGCCTACAGCCACTAGGAGAGGAGAGGATTCAAACCACGCGCTGAGGAGAAACAATCGAATGAGAGAAAGTATACAGTATGAATGTCTGGTTGTCTCTCCTCTAGGTCAAATGCAGTTAATACAAAAAGTGTGTATGGGGGGTTGGGGGTGACTTAACGACATCATAGGCCAAGGTTACATGAGGAGAGGGGGCCACTGTATCCCATTCAAACTTAAATGCTTCTCGTGTCGTTTTTGGCCAACAGACGTCGAGACACTTTACTGGAATGTATTCCAGGCAGGTCGTTCTTGCGGCAAACTCGGCCGTTTGCTGGCTCATCCCTCACACATGCCCCCCCACCCTCCCTCTCTGGCACCCTCCTGCCTCTCACTCTTCCTCTGTTTTTTTGTCTGTCAATGGGGGGGGGGGAGGACTTGGCACCGGGGCGAGCTGGCACCCATATGCAGGGTTAGCTGTACTTTGTGCATTCCTGATCCGAGAGAGAGCGAGGGGAGCGAGAGAGAGAGCGATCTAAAATGGCTGCCAAGTGCTTACTACTCCTCCACATGAAATGTCTGCCAAAAAGAGAAAAAAAAACTTTCGCCGTTGCAACCGGCAAGCACAGGCCAGAAATGTCTTACACTAAACGCATAAATGAACAGGGACGGGAACTCAGGAAGTAAACTTGTTTACTTAAGCGGGAGCGAAGGAGAATTAGGTAAAGTGAGAGTTTGATGGAGATGAAACGTTGGATGAAGGGAGAGACTTTTTTTCTTTTGTTTTTGATTTAAGTAAATGGAGGAAATGTATGATTGGCGAGAGCTAAATGTGCCAGGTGCGAGAGATGAGAGGCAACATGATTTGTCTGGATGGACTGAACGAGAGTGAAAGACAGAATGAAAAAGAGGTGGGGAAAGAAGGGAGTGGGAGTCTGAGGAAGGCAGATGTGTTTCCCTCCTGGTGAAACTTTTGACGTTGCCACAGCCTGGCCGGAAAACTGAGATTCAATCCAGGACGCACAGCAGAGGACAAAAATAGTCAAACAGACCCATTGTGTCCTGATATTAAATGTAAATAATAACAGCAGAATACAAAAATGAGAATATTGAAAATAACTTTCTGGATGGCGCAAGCGGTCGACAAAATGGCCGCCCCCCCACTCTGTAAAATGGCTGCTTTCGTAATGTTGCTCTCTCCGCGTTTTATGATACTGTCACGCGGTGCCTGTCCTGCTCTCCCCTCTTTCGCTAATCTGCCGCGTCTCCGCGTAGGAGAGCTCTCGTACTCCCCGTTTCTCAATGCGCCCTACGCTGATTTCATCCTCATGAATTTTACCGTGCGACCCAGGCCGTTCCGGCAAACCGAGGCTGCTGGCGGTGCGGCGGAGGGGCTCCGCCAAGCTTCCCGCTTTCCGGAGGGGGGGGGGAGCAATTGCAGCGGGAATGCGGACGAGGAATGGCACGGGTCTTGACCAATGGCTGGCAAGCACCCACGTTTGCCTCTGAGCGGAACATCACTGCTGCGTAGGATCCTCCCATAACAGAATATATACAACAATAGCAGCAATAACAACAACAACAACAACAATAATAATAACAATAGGAGTATAAAGGATGACAGGAAGTCCCCTTCACTCTGTTTGTCCTCTCGTACCTGCACAGCCTCTTCCGAAGCACACGGCATCTGCTTCAATCGATTCCCTGTTATTGTGGGATGTTCGGCCCCTGTAGCAAACAGGTAACATTTTAACGGAATTCTCCGACACGTCTCACCCTGTAGAGGAAGGAGGAGCTGGGGGGGGGGGTTTAATTTGCGGGGAGGGGAGTCGTTGGCTAAAAACCGGTCTTGACCC